GATCAGGAACACTTATGAAATAGGAGAATCGTTTTTCGAATTTGATTGTAGTTTGCCGGCGCCTCGAACATAGAAAAAGTCAGTAGCTAAAGAAGAAAGAGGAACTGAAAACCGGATTTATCGCTCCAGTTTAAGTATCCGTTACATGTTACATTTCTGAAAATATTTTAGTTTGCACAAAATCTGAAATTGTGTGCCAAAACGTGTTCAATTTCGAGTGAAATGTCTCAGTGAATTTAGGGAGGGGTATTTAATGGCACCTCCAAAACATGTACGTACTCGTATCTTCGCAAGGTCAGTGGATAGTACATTTATAGAACAGAGGTAGCTGACGAAACCTCCTATCTCATAAGTGTTGCAGTTTCTGATCACTTACGGAACAGTGGAAGCGTTCCGTTTGAAAATAGCTACCTCCTATTCGATAAATGTACCCAACACCTCGATCCGTCGTTCTTTGATGTTTCCGAAGATAAAAAAGGACATCACAAGAAGGATAAACAAAGAGAGAAAGACTCGCAAGTACCATATTTAATTCAATATTATGCTACCGAATATTGACCGATTTATATCGTGTTTAGTCTCATTTTAATCAGAAAAATGTCCCCCACATGATAGTAAAATTTTTATTAACAAAAAGAAAAAAAGAAAAAATTTTCTTCTGTACAGTAGTGTGGTCACACTGGCAGGGGCATTTAAACCAAGGTAACGAAGGTAATAAAGATTTTTAAAGAAAGGCGCTACGTCTCCCGTTACACTTCGTCTCACTGGTTCAAGGGGGATCCCCCTAGTGGTGGGGATAAAAATGTATCATTTACGGAACAGCTCTTGAGGACATTTATCGAGTTTTCACTGTAATTAGTGAGCAAAATAAGTCCCACAAAGAAGCAATCGAGTATAATAATAAAACTCTTAATAATGAAAGTTAATTCTTAAACGGCGTGCCTTAAAAAGTAACATTTAATTTTCGAAAAGCCAAATAGGAGTGAGCCTCGAGGAAATTATAATTAACGGCGCACCTCGTTCCACTGGCCTTCAGTAAAAAAGTAGGAAATAATTTACGCTTTTAAAATGTGAACCAATGCGTCGTCCAACGACGTAGTATTTTCATTTACGTTGTAATTTTGCGAACAAAACGCGAAAAAAAGGAACTAACCATGCCATGACTAGCGAACAGCTTGCGAAGATAAAACAAGAAACAAATATTCGGGGTGTCCGGTGATCGGTAATGCAAGCGATCATTCTATTGTACGCGAAAAACTGAATCGAAAATGTGGAATGAAAGGGTCTAGCCGAATAAGCATGGTAAAAGTGCCCCCAAACCAAACTGAACGGGGTTAATACCACTCGGTAGGTGGTTCGAAGAAAACCCTTTTCACAAAGTTTCAACCCGGTATCTCTACTACAGGGGTAATTACGGGGTGAAAATCATTTTTTGGTTTATCCTTAATATCTCCAGTTCTGCTCAATTAAGCATTATGAAAAAAATCATGGTTATTCTACCGACTGATGTACATATTCGAGAATTTTTTCAGAATTTTTGGATGCAAATTCGATTTTTAAAAAATTCGAAAATATTTTAACCGTCGATTTTACATATTTGAAACTACATATAGCGACCAGTTAACAAAGTATATAAACAAATATATTTTAATTACATCTATTTTAAAAGCATGTGTGGCCTTTTTCCGTATGAAAAATTAGGAAATATGAATTCATAATTTTTTAACAATAACGCACTTTTCCAAAAAATCTGAAAAAATTACGCATCAATAGTCACAATATTACGTTATAGCTGCAAAAATATGAACATGGTCACGTAAGTAATTAAGACAATATAAAGCTTTTTCGCCATTTTTTAATCATTTTTTATTTTTTTGACTACGTTCCACCCCTTCGAAAAATCTGAAAAAATTAGAGATTACTAATTCTTGTGAGAGCTTTATACAGTATGAAAACAAATGTGGTCACTTGATAACTTCTACAAAAAATCGACGGTTAAAATATTTTCGAATTTTTTAAAAATCGAATTTGCATCCAAAAATTCTGAAAAAATTCTCGAATATGTACATCAGTCGGTAGAATAACCATGATTTTTTTCATAATGCTTAATTGAGCAGAACTGGAGATATTAAGGATAAACCAAAAAATGATTTTCACCCCGTAATTACCCCTGTAGTAGAGATACCGGGTTGAAACTTTGTGAAAAGGGTTTTCTTCGAACTACCTACCGAGTGGTATTAACCCCGTTCAGTTTGGTTTGGGGGCACTTTTACCATGCTTATTCGGCTAGACCCTTTGTTCGTACGGTGTTTTCGAGATAATTAATATTGAAAATCCGCGGAGCACGTGTCTGATCATTGCCTGTTATTTCTACTTGTTTTTATATTGTTAAATATTAATTTTAGCGTGTCGTTGTCTCTTTTATGTCAATCTTATCACATTCTGATTACTTAAAAGTAGTAGAAACAAATAATTCCGCGCCAATATCGGTGCCCATGAGTCAGACAAGGCAAGTAGAATTACCCAGTAATGGACAGACGAGTCGAACAGAGCGTACGCTGAGAAATTTTTAACGACGATTATGTCGGGGAATAAGACTTGTATAAAAAATCTTTATATCGCATTTGCGATTCATTTTCTCACGTAGAATAATTGTATTATTAGTTAACTTTCAGATTTTGAATAATTAATTTCTTCAAATTCATATTGCAGTATTAATAAAATTAATATAGACACAGTTACCATAGTAAAATCATTTTTAATACAAACAGAGTTTTGTCTCAATAATAATAATTATCACCTTCTTTGTACAGTTTTATTTTAGGTAACTCATTTTAAAAAATTGTTTGTTAGATTAAATAGAAAAATATTTGAGAATATGAGCAGTCGTAGAGTCATAGGCATTGTTAATTGTTTTATCTGTTATAATAGATATTTATTACTATTATTTATGTATTGGAAAATTAAGTAATACCAATGCAGGTAAGTTTACCATTGCAGATAACATTATTTTAAACGATGGACTAATTGTATTTGGAACTTTCAATTAGAAAGCCATTAGACATAATCACAGAAAAACTGAAAGGTACAAATAAATACATTATTAGTTCTTCGCAGCATAAAATTTAATTTTTTAACAACATTAAATTCTCGTGATTCCTTATGATTGATAAAATTTAATATTTTAAAAACATTAACCAATATATTTGAAGTTAATCGAACAGATAATAAGCATTGCATGGTCTGTTCGATTATCATTTTATATCAATGTACGAACAGCTGACAAAAATAATATTAAAATTCATAACATTCGTCGTCATTTCTATCACCAGTGTTTGCATTACGTTCCGTTCATTTTCTCTAGAAATAATTTCCCTCGAAAGCGTCAAAGAGTCAACGAAGTCGAATTATTTAAAGTTACTCAACTGGCAAATGCCATAGCATAAAATTATCGGTTTATCAGCGGCGTGGGCAAAGCCGTGATTTACGCGAAAGTATTAAAAGTCGCAAGATCGTGTCACGTTGAAAACGGACCACAGAAACCGTATATTCGTCCGTCGATTAAATCACGGAAGCATAACTTAGGCGGTTAGATGCATCTACACGTAAGTACTCTAGTTAGAACAGACGAGTCGCTAATTGAGATTCAGTGATGCACATAATGGTACTGAAATAACATGAATTCCAATCCGTGGAACGAGGCGGGAAGGCAAAATACGAGACTATTCATTTCGACGGTTAAAATCACCGAATATTTCACTTTGCTGAGCCAGCTGAGCCTGCCACCCTGTCGTGGCACCCTGGCGATGGAAACGACGTACGCGGAGGGTAAAGCAAGTCTTCCCCCTCTGCAGGGGTCTGAAAACCTTCAACCACCCACTCTGTCTCTCCTTCGTGCCCGTTCTCGTCGCTCCTCCGCGTTTTCCGTCCTCTCCTCTCGCCCCTTCTGCTCCTCCTTCCGACACTAGGCTGCAGATTTATGCGCCCCGCCTTGCAGCGCTGATATCCGAGAACTCGCGACCTGCTCCGTCCGTAATGAAAGAAATAAATTTACTCTCCTGGGTGCTCCGGGGATTGAGACTCACCGTTCCTGAGCGTATATACACGACACCGAGCACTCTGGCGGTGCGAATCGAAAGCAATACGCACCCATCCGGCTGCTCCGTCTCCCGTCCGTCGGCCCCGTCTTCTCTCTGCCCCCGATTATCCATCTTCTTTCCTTTCTATACAGTATTATTGCCGATCGACTTTCGAATCCCAGCTTCCGAGCGATCCCAACTTTTTCGACACCCGGAAGATTCGATGCGCCTTCGATAGTCGAGACTCGAAGTCTAAAACACTCGAAATCCTCGAATCTCGACGGGGACGTTCGAATCTTAACTTCGAAGCGATTCCAAGTGTTTTCAGAACTGTGATTCGAAGCGTTTCAGCTTCCATCGCTAACTAAATCATGTATTATTCTTTTCTAATTTCTTTTGTATCGTTCTTTGTTAGAATTTAATTATTTCCCTGTCTGGTGGAACAAATAGAAACATTCAACACTTTCGTGGACAGTTGTCATTCAGAAATTTACGATAAGATAGTTCCAAGTCAAGCAGCTAGAAAAAGACATTCAAAGAAACATTCATTTCTCAGAATTAGCAATGTTGTTAGAAACAAGTGGAATTTAAACGAACTCAATTATCTATTTAGCATCTTTGTTGCACAAAGCTATGATATCATACGTAAACATTAATCAAAGAAAATAATAAGACGAGTCCTGTTCTAAAGTCTGACTTGGAATTTTATGATTTACTATGAAACAGATATTATAGAAGAAATGGAATTTTAACGAAATTTGTATAAAAATGAATATTAATTAGGAATAAAATAAAAAAGTCTGAAAGACAGCTATGTGGTTCTGATTTCCGAGCCTTCTAAACGAAATTTTATATAAATTGTGTAGAGTAGGATGTAGTAGAGAACGACACAGATTTAATGATTCCACAAACATTGTTTTTATTAAAGCGGTATGGAAATTCAACGATATTTACAAGAGATATTTACAGTGCAAATAATATGTATCGTACATTGTTTCTTCGATCGGAATACTTTACACGGTAGAAAACCGATGATTTTTCAGAACGAATTTAAAAGACTGTTAAAGATTCTCTTTGCAATGTATTTTAAAATCTGGGAAATAATTTCCGTATATTTCGTCCGGTTCATACGCCATTTACGTCCTTTTCTATCGTATAAACGATGCGTATAAGTTAGATGTTATATTTTGCCGTAGAGATAGTCTAGACACACCATTGTTGACATTATCTCTTATTTCTTCGAAAAAATAGCGTAATATCACAGTTATATCATGGACATAGAACATGCACGACCGTCGGTACGCGCCTACAATTTTATTCCAGCACGCAGTATCGTTTTTTTATATATATATATTTTTTTTTTTACAAGAGTACACGCATCACTTTAAACACAAATTGGAAAATATATAATCGTATTACGTGGAAGCCGAAGAGCATAGAAAATTTCTCAATGTATAATCCTTTTTAACTATTCACGGGATCCAGTTTCTTTACCGCTATGGAAACACCTTAAACTACTCGCAGATATTTAATTTCCGGCGTACATGTTCCTCCCTAGATAATAATCGAAAACGTTAAAGAGACGTGTAATAATTTTTTTCCTGCAAAGAATCGCGACGAAACAAACCGTCGATATATCTTTAAAAAACTTTATGAACTCATAGTGTTTTTTTTTTTAGAATTTATGCACACATATGTATATATTTCTTTAAATAAATTTATATTATACACGTTTAATTATTTACACAACAGTCTGTCAATGTTTCGTTTTAAACGGCTCTTCTATATTACACTATTACGGACTGTACACTTGGGAGCCCCCATCGAGCACTCGAACGACGAATCCTTTAAGGATGAACGGCGGCGCCGATTCGCTGACCGTAGATCGCGTACGGCGAGTAATAAGGTCCCAACGCGTTGAAGGCGCTGTAAGGTGAGGCGGCGAGCGACGCAGGAAGCGGTCCCGTCGGCGGTTTCCCGTAAGGATGATATCTGGCGCTGAGAGGGCTCAAAGACGGCGTCGGATAGGATCCGCCGCTGGCGCGATGTAGGGCGGCTGACGGCGAGAGCAACGGATGCGGATGAGGGTTGCTAAGCAGAGCGGCGGAGGACGCGTGCTCGCTTCCGGTTAGGCTGGTGTGGCTTCTGAGATGCTGCAAAAGTTCCTCGGACGTGGTGAACCGTTTGCCGCAGTACGAGTCACCAGCGATCCAGTTGCAGACGTACGGTCTGCCTCCGGTCAGGGTGGACGGGTACGAGAGAGACGGAGGAGCCATGGGTCCCAACGACGATAACGCCATCGCGAGACCGTACTTCTGATGGTCGCACTGCGTGCATCCGCTGGGGCAGGTCCCTGTGCCCATCATCAGCTGCGCGCTATGCATGCTGTATTGGCAACCGGTGCAGTAAGGGTCCTTGCAGACGGGGACCAGGGCCTCGCCGCCGGCAGGCGTCTTGACGCGGGCGTAGCTCAGATACGGGTTTCCGCTGGTCGGGGTCGTCGACGGGTAGCCCAAAAGGGCCGCTGCCGCGGCGTGGTGATGAGAGAAAGGAGACGCGCCGGCGAACGGCGGTCTGAACGCTGGATTCTCCGCCAGGCCCGGCGGACAACAAAGAGGGTTCCCGGAAAAACCGGGAAGCCCCGGTTTGTACGCGCTCAGGTTCGAATCCTTCGCGTGGCCGCCGGAAAGTATCTCCATCCCGGATCTGATGATCGGGCTGGCTCCGTTGTTGTTGTTGTTGCGCGGCGAACCGTCGGTCTTCTCCCGATCCGCCGGCGTCTTCCTGTCGGCGGACATCGTGCTCGTGGAGGTCGCCTGGCTCGCGGGCGACGCCGACTTCCGTCCGACGGGCGTACGGTTACCCGACTTCTTCTCCGTGTGGTTTTCACTGGCACTCACACTGTCCTGGCCACTAACACTGTGCACACTGGCCTTCGACGCAGGCCTACCCTCGTCGGACGACTTCTTCGACACGACGTTCGTCTCGTACGGCTTGAATGCCAACGATTTACCGTCCGACGGGCTGCTGCGCGTGTTCCGCTCCAGCTTTGCCGCCGGCGGTGATTTCGCGTTCGTGCCCGCGCTCATGCCCTTCGGAGCCTTGTCCAGGGGCGATATCAGAGGCTTCGCCGGAGAGTCAGCTCCGATCTGGCTGCATGTCTGCGCCAAGAGGGCCAGGGGGCTCTTCTTCGCGTCCAACTGGAAAATAAATTTTAAAAACCCGTTGAAAATTGGAGTCTGAACGAGAGTTTGGAGGAGTAATTTGAGAAAGCGGAACGGAGGAGAATACAGAGGTGGTAGGAGCGCGGCCCGTCGGACGACGCGGGCCGTCGGAAGGCGGAAACTGCTCCAAAAAAGAGCGATCGTGCTCCGAAATTCTATCGTTGTCTCGGTTTACGTTCATAATTTCGTGTAATACTAACCGTGGTTGGAAGCGGAGAAAGGTAATCCGGTTGTAGATACTGATTGTGTCCAGTAGTCAGCATACCGCCTTCCTCGAGGACAACCATTTGGTTTTACACTTATGGAGCCAATCACTGCACAAAACCACAGGTGTAATCCCACAGAATTCACGACGAATAAACGAACTGGTTCGTAGATCTGGCGACTGCGACACGGTCTCGGTATACGTGCTGGATCGATTCCTCCGTAGCATGAAACGATTAAACGCAAACGACGTACACCGAACGAAATCCAGGAAAATAGTGGTAGCTCTCGACGGAGCCGTACGGTGCTCGAAGTGGAATGCGACCACAACGCCGCCTGGCGACACAACACGCTCTTTTCCCCCCTCTTCGTGCAAGCTGGGGTGTATAACCTGTCCTCTCCTGTCATCCCCACCATTTCTGGTCGGAGGATTATGGTGGGAGAATTGCGGTGGGGTTTGGCCCTGTGTGGGGTGTGGGAAGGCATTCTAATTCAACACGCCACCCATGATGTTGGCCCGACGATGACAGCTCCCATCCCGGCTTTGATATTTCACCGCTTTTACAGCCGTCCTCCCCCTCCCCTTCTCTTCTCCTCTTTCGTTCCCTTACTCTCCACACCCCTTTCCGTTTGCCTACCATAGCTACCTCGACACGGAACCGTCCCTGCCATCACAGCAACCCGATATTTTATACCGTGAAACCTGTCTGTCTCTCCGACTGGCCTCGCTTAATAAGCAGCTTTCAAAATAGAAATGTAATGGGCCGGTGGGGAAGGGAATGTCGGGTGATTGATTGCTCGCTCAGCGACTTACCGACTTGCCACAGCCTACGGGATAACGAATGACAGCCACTTAAGCGCTGTTTGCCTACAATTTTGTAAAAGCGTTTTAATTATCGCCCCGACCGCACCTCGACTTTGTCGCGTATTGAGTCACCAGATACTAAACGCTCCGAGGGACCTGATCTTTCCGACTTCCTTGTTATTTTAAGATAACTCCGCTCCGAAATAGCGTACGCCGTCCGAGGAACTCGTCCTCCATCACGATTTATCAAACACGCTCCAACAAACTAGAAGACACGCACGAAAATTCTCTTTAACCCCTTAACGTTCGAACATTTTTCAAACTTACCGCCCAAAATCTACTAATTTTTTTTCCTTTCCTAATCTCGTGGATACTCAAATACGTTTTCTGCATTTCTACAAGTATCTTGAACCTCGATATAAATACAGAATAAAATCATACTAAAAAGTTCACCGTTTTAAAACTAATATGAATGTATCAGTATTTTCTTGACCCAGTCAAACGTCATCCCGATATTATTATATCTTTGCTTCCACAGAAAAATATATGCAAAATTTTACAAACTCGATAAGATAAATTTCAGTTTCTACGTCACTCGGTGTTGTAATATTTAAAAGTGCATCATTTGTGAGAGAAATACCTTTTCACGGTTAGAAACTGCTTTCGTAATATGGTTGCGGATAGTATTTATGTAAAACCCCGGAAACGTTATGTACTGTATGTTAGAAATTAGAAGCTATGCGACTGTTGCTCTTGCCGAGAATGGGCATTAAAAAACTTGAATATCAGCTGAAACTCAAACGTTCCGCGCGGTTAGAGGATCCCGTCTATATATTTCGCTAGTACGACTTAAGTACGATTAAGCGATCGATGAAGTAGCTATGTTACAGGGTTATTACAACGAATTATGACAATATCCACGGCTTCGAGTACGCGGACTGCATACCTGCCGCAAGCAATAATTAGATTGGAAAATACATTACGCTGGAATGTAACTGAATAGTATTCGAGAAATGAATAGAGACACGCAAACGGCCATTTAAATATAAATTCATAACGATTTCAGAATGTCTAGATGCCGCAATAATGAGGTTCTCTCGAATAGTGGATATTTTTTTTTATCTTACGTCTGTTCGAGTCAATTTTCTTTAGAAACTTAACGATAGCAATTTATATTACGTTTCCTCCACTGTTTTGGCACAGACTTTACGCAATCTATTTTACAAGAGATATGTAAGATTCGTATTAAACGTACTCTGTACTCATGAGTTTAAATTATTTCATACTCACGTGGTTTTTGTATCGTGCACGGGCAATATTAACCATTGAAATGTTAAAAATAAACCTGGAAGACCTTACGACTTTCGTAATACATGTTTGGGAATTATTCAAAGGATGTTTAAACTAGCAGACACGAATGTGTGAAAGTAAACAATAATGATAAAAAAAAGGAAGTTACGAATACAATATTTAATTAACGAAATTCAGCTTTGGGTCAAAATGGACCTCAAAAGTTTCTTCCGCCAAACAAAATTGAATCGACGTCTTGTATGTCGAGAAAATTGTTATGCTAATTTAATTTGCAATTTATAATGTCGGGGAACAGCTCGAAGCAAATTCGATCGTCCATCTTCGATTAAAGAGTGGAACACGGTATAATATTAAATCCCTCTATCGTGTAATATTTCCCAGAAGCAAAGGTCTGTCGGAGCTCTGCTTCCATAGAACGTCCATCTTTCTCTCTCCGCTATCTCCCCGTCTCTCTGTCCCCCCCTCTTCCTCTCAACTTCCACTGTTTCTGTGAAGTTATGGCGCCGTTAATATCCCAATGGCAAGTCTTTGACGTTTTGACACTGATGGATGAGTTTACGGCTAATATAGTTCTCTTTCATCTCCGCCGCTCCTTCAGCCCACGTTTCAGAGATTTCAAGACGACAGCTACCAGGCGGGTAACGATTCAGCTTTGATGTATTATTGACGGGCGTACTGGCATAAACAACGTTTACTATATAACGTCGCTGGTGTGTATAGTAACAAGAAACAAAGTGCTGAAAACGTCTTCCACCCAAGAGCAACCGTACACAAACTATTTCATTCAAACTCGAACGATTTACTTTGCGAGAAATTTCATGTCAACGATTCCTTTTCGATTTTTACTCCTTTCGTCGGGTAAGAGTTTCATTTACAACTTCCAGGTCAAGGTAAACTTTGTTTATTCATGATATATCACATATTTTGTTTGTATTAAACTCAGGTTTTTTACAATTTACTCCTACGTTGGGAATTATGAGATTTTTTGAATCGTGTATTATGCAACGTTAAGATTAAGCAAGTTTATTATTGAATATAAAACTTCGAAACGAGTAAATTGAACGGTTACATACCGCGAATTAACAGCGTTGTGTTTCCCAAACGAAACATTTTCGAAATCTATTCTCGAGCCCCGTTTTCATACAAATACTGTGACGAGGTAAATACAGGTACGTTTAAATTTATGGCTTTATTGCTTCCCTGTAATTAGCGACAATAAATCGGTGAGGCTCGCAGTCGACGCGTTATAAAGTCTGTCAACAATGAGGAATACAATAAATAAGGTAGTAGGGTTCTCCCTTGTAAACACAGAACGGGATACCGCATTGTGTACGATTTGTTGTGACAGGGTAATAATGTTTCAAGTTATTGTCATGCTGGATTAGGATATTGGTTAAGATATACTCCAGCTGGGGATCTAGAAATCGGCCAGGTCCCTCTCGAAAAGTTTTTATAAATAGTGCATAGTAAAAATTCCAAATGACGCGTCGTTAACAACAGTTTGTACGTGATTTCACGGATTACTGAAAAGCAACACGAAAAGACTCTCGAGATAAAACATTTACCACTGTTTTCTCAAAATAACTGAACGGTACTCACAGCATATCAAATTCTTAATTAAATAATATCAAACAACACTGGGAGGACCCTGGTAATATTTAGAAAAACAGAGTTCCTCGAAGGCTGAATCCTAGGATTTTGCCTCCAAAATTCGAGTTCTAAATAAACACTGCATATAAAGTTCTTAATTAAATAATATTAAATTAATACACGACCCTGGTAATATTTGGAAAAACGAAGTTCCTCGAAGGGTGAATTCCGTAGTTCGCCCCCCTTGAATTCGTTGCTCGACGGAGCACAAACGATCTTAGGATGAAGAAAATTCGAGTTTCACGCTTACGATATAAATGTAAAGCACCCGAGGAGCACATTTAAGGGAGAATTCGTAAACTTAAATATGGACCCGCAGCTGCCAGGTCGCGTTTCGTAGAAAAGTTGATACAAAATAGGTTGCATTCGAAGCCAATGATATGTACATAATCACGTAGCGCCCCCCTTGTCATTTTGCGTTTCGAGTTCGGTATATAAGAAATAAGGGGTGAAACGAGGGGAACGAAAGGAGACTGCTATGATTTATTGCTGGCCGCAAATTCTGTTTCTCCTCCGTGCACGCCAACTGCGTTTGTGTTCATCCATCTTTTTCCCTTTCACGGCTCACCAGGCAACTTTTCCTCGGGTTCCCCCGTCTCCCTTCGCCCTTCTTTCGTCCCCACCCTTCACCTTTGTTCCGCACCATCTCTCAAAGTAACTGACTGTCTCCTTTATTATCCGCTTGTCAGCATTTTTACACTTTTGTCCAGCGTCCTAGTATCTATTGTACCCGAAACGAATTCGTACGGTCACAATACGTCATAAAGGATGACCAACTTGAAGTATTGCCGAGGCATTGTCGTGTCTACGCCGAAAATGACTCTGATCTCGGATGCGACGTTGCGGTCTCGGCTTCGATTCGAATTAGGGCGCGGATATTATAAGTCACTTGCCCCGGTAATCGTTCTTTCGGGGGGGGATTCGGGACATCTGCCACTTTCAGGCTCCGATGTCTCGAGAAAACCGAAATATCGGCTACTCGACCACCCCCCTATTATTTCTGGTACCGCGTTTCGAAGTATTTGATATTCAACATATCACTTCTTTAACAAAAATTTACTCTGTATTTTTCTTTTTTCTTTTAAGGGGGGAAACCACTGTGACGGCTGAAAATAAAGGCAATTTTCAAGAATTTTTTGGGTTTAACTATGAAACCTTTTCTAATAAATGTTTAATGTTTTCGAAGGTACATTTCTTGAACTACTTCTTGTAAAAATTTCGTATAAAAATATTAATTATTATAGCCATAATAAGCACCAACGTGAGAGGCCTCCAAAAATTTGATAGAAACGGGCGGACGAATAATTTTTCATTTCAAGTTGTGGAACAAGAAATCAGGCAACTTTCTTAAACTGTAAGTCCTGTAACCTGTAACTTTATCATTTTTGCGAATTTTACTTTAATATTTTAGAGGCTCATTATTTAATCCTCAAGCATCGAAAAGAGATAAAAGAAAAATTTCCCATAATGTGGTTTCCCCCTTAATGCAAAATAATTTTGAATTTTTTTGGAGGTTTCTGGCCCACTGTGGTACGATCGAGAAGATTGTCGTCGCGG